CCTGGGAGTTGAAGTCCACAAGTCTTCAATTCTGGGAGTTGAAGTCCTCAAATCTTCAGTCCTGGGAGTTGAAGTCCACAAGTCTTCAATTCTGGGAGTTGAAGTCCACAAGTCTTCAATTCTGGGAGTTGAAGTCCTCAAGTCTTCAATTCTGGGAGTTGAAGTCCACAAATCTTTAATTCTGAGAGTTGAAGTCCACAAGTCTTCAATCCTGGGAGTTGAAGTCCTCAAATCTTCAATCCTGGGAGTTGAAGTCCACAAGTCTTCCAGTTGCCAAGGTTAGACATCCCTTCTCTCCATGTTGCTTTTAAAGCAGACGACAGCGACTTCTACACCCTGCTGGACATTTGGTTCCCCGAGAAGAAGTCTCTCCCCACAGCTTTCCTGGTGGACACCTCCGAAGAGGCCCTGCTCCTCCCGGATTGGCTGAAGCTGCGCATGATTCGTTCGGAGGTGCCTCGCTTGGTGGATGCAGGTAAGAATAGAGTAAGGATAAGAACAGAATCACAGTTTTATCGTCACTATGAACGTCCCCCTAATCGGAATGCCTCAGAACGAAATTTCGTCGCACGCAGCTCTCGAAGGGTCACCACCTCCCATGGGCACCACGCAGCATAACCGGAAAAAATAAACAAATGCAGAATTATGCATCTAAACGGTCTGCCTGGCATGACGGTTGAAGAAACAGCGGCAGGATGGCTTCGTAAATACGGATATGGAAAGAAAATCTCCTCCTGGAGGGTGTGTTGAATTTGGGGGGGGTGTTTTTTTATTCCAGCGTTGCAAGACCTCGAACCCCAACAACTGCTGCTGTTCGTCCAGTCCTTTGGCATCCCGGTGTCCAGCATGAGCAAACTTCTGCAGTATCTGGACCAAGCTGTGTCTCACGACCCTCAGACACTGGAGCAGAACATCATGGACAAGAGTAAGAGTAACCCCGGGTTGGGTTTTCCCTTCCTTCGCCCGCCCGCCCTGCGAGACTCTTGCGGGCATTCTTCTGGGATTCGGCCCAAGCTCTATAGGACACACCTCCGATGGAGCTTTCTTCTCTCCCCCCTTACAGACTACATGGCCCATCTCGTGGAAGTGCAGCATGAAAGAGGAGCCACCGGCGGGCAGACCTTCCACTCCCTCCTCACCGCCTCCCTTCCATCTCACCAAGGTTCGGTATTTGGCTTCTGAGAGCCATTTGGGTCTTATCTCATCAGCATTAAGGCACCTAATTCAAAGGAGGCACGAAAACAAGATACCGGGTCCGTTAACCAACTAGCCAGGAGATCGGGGGGAGGGTGGCGGTGTTCCTTGGTTCATGCAATGCCCCAAATTTGGGAGCAAAGGCATTTTTAAATCTTTATGGAAAGCTAAACAGGGTTGGGACTGTTCATGAACTGAAGAAGCTCCTTGGATGAGAAGGGAAACATCTTCAAAGAAAAAGAAAAGTCCAGTTGTCTCTTGAAAAAGCACCTTTGGGACAACGATGACCTGGATGGTTGAGAATCTGCATAAACATTGCTCTGGGGGGAACTCTGTGTGTGTGTGAGAGAGAGAGGGAGAGAAAGAGAGAGACAGAGAGAGAGAGAGAGAGGCAGATACAGAGAGAGAAAGAGGGAGAGAAAGAGAGAGAGAGAGAGAGAGAGGCAGATACAGAGAGAGAAAGAGGGAGAGAAAGAGAGAGA